CGATGCAGGGCTCAATCCCAGGACCCTGGGATCATGACTTCAGCTGAAGGCAGACAATTAACGAATTAGCCACCCAGGCGCCCCTGGAAGTTGCTGCTTTCAAAACTTGATTCTTGGTTCATTTCTCAGTCAGTGTAGCATTTACTAAAGAAAGAAGAGGGAAAATTTCCCTCTCCTCAGCCTTGAATAGAATGAAAAACATAATTTGTCAGGGTTACTTGAAAAATATAAGATTTCTGCCCTGAAGTGAGCTTTGAGATTTTTTTGCTTAACATTTTTAAAGACGTTTGCAAATGGGTTTTGAAAATAGTAGGTGGTTGCATAGTGTAAAGTAGATTGTTACACATTGCATATGTTGAAGCTTGTATGAAGGTAAATTTTATCCTTTCTCATTCTGTATTTTTCTAATTTTGTATCACGTTAAAAAGTACATAAACTATACAAAATAGACCTTCAGATGTGCCATATGAAGAAGCATCATACTTCAGTGAAATAGCGAAAAGAAAAATAAAATGAGCACCTTGTAAAGTGTCAAGCATTTCAGCACCGTCAAGTACCTTTCAGTTATTAAAATACAGGTTTTGAAAACCATCTGTTCACTTGTTTACAGGAACCCTGGACCCTAGTTCTCCATACACTATGGTGTCACCAAGTGGACGAGCCGGGAACTGGCCAGGGTCTCCTCAAGTGTCCGGCCCCTCACCAGCAACACGCATGCCTGGAATGTCACCAGCCAATCCATCACTACATTCTCCAGTTCCAGATGCTTCTCATTCCCCTCGAGCTGGAACAAGTGAGCGTCATCACCATTTTTGTGTTGGTTTTAGTCTAACCTCCAGATGACCTATTTTTTTTCCATCCTCACATTTGACGTTGTGACCTACTTGTTAAATGGGGATACTTAATAACTTAAACTTTAATCCATTTAGTAAATTGGTTAACAATAGTTAATTTGCACAGTTAAAGCAAAATATAAGAAAGGGAAATGTCTCCTCCAGAAGTCTAGTGAGGTGAGCCCCAGTACCTTTGTTATGTCTACTAACTTAGCTGCAAAACTAGACCTTGAGGGACACCTAAAGTTAACTGACAAGGTTGTACAAATTAACACAGAACGGAATTGTGCACATATGTTAGTTAGCTTTGCCAGGTAACGTTTAATGACTTAGAACAGCAATCTTATTATTAGCTCACCATTCTATAGGTGAGCTAATAATATAGGCGATTTGGGCTAAGCCAAGCTGGGTGATTTTTCTAGGCTCTGCTTTGCTCACTCATGTGTCTGTGGTCAGCTCCTGTGTGGGCTGGGGCCTGGCTGGTCTAAAATGGCCCCAGCCGGTGTGGCTTCCTCTGCTCCATGTGGTCTCAGACTTGATCACAGGCTTGATCACCTGGTGGCTGGACGGGGTTTCAAGAACGTGAGTGAAATCCTAAGTTTGCAGCTGGTACCACGTCCCTTCCACTGCATTCTTTAAGTCACAGCAAGTCACAGGGCCAGCCCAGATCCCAGGAAGAGAAATAGACTCATCCCTCTAAGGGCTTGCTACAAAGTCACTTTGTAAGGAACCTAGCTACAGGGAGAAGAAGAACCCTGGCCATTTTGCTAAAAGGAAGCTAACATATGATTGTTAAGCCACAAGGAGTAATGAAAACAGTATGGATTGCTTTAGAATATCAAAGATTTATAATAAAAACAAAACAGAACAGTGGGACCGTATTCATTTGTGACTGAAATGACATGTTTTCCTTCCCAAAAGGTTCCCAAACTTTGCCAACAAACATGCCTCCACCTCGTAAACTACCTCAGCGCTCCTGGGCAGCCTCCATACCTACCATCCTCACTCACAGTGCCTTGAACATTTTACTGCTGCCCTCTCCAACACCAGGCCTTGTGCCTGGCCTGGCAGGTAGTTATCTTTGTTCTCCGCTTGAGAGATTCCTTGGATCGGTCATCATGAGACGGCACCTTCAAAGAATTATTCAACAAGAAACGGTATGGGTACCTAGTGAACTCCTCAGTGGTGGTTGTTGAAGGCGGGTGCTGATAAGTTTCCCCACAGAACAGCATCTGAACTAAAATGATGTTCCCTCACTTCCTTTAACTAGCTCGCTGGAACTGTGCTTTCCACCCTGCTCTAGCATTAAAAACGGACTCCACTGTTTTCTTTTCCATTCTTAGGTTAACATGTTCCTGCGTTTTATAGTTTGCTGTGCTATGGCTAACGGGCCCAGAGATAGGTCCCACAGGGTCCCCACAGCGCCATGGGACAAATGCTCCCAGGATCTGCCTTTGCAGAGAGTAGCATACAAGCAACTATGGGCCTTCTGGAATCCCCTTGCAGGCAGGCTGACTTTGAACTGGATTCTCCATTGAAATAAAATTATTTTTGATCACAAGGTTGAAAACTCCTTTTTAAATTCATGAACAACTGAAGTGATTTAGAAAAAGTCAGAAAAAGATGTGTCCTGTGGTGATACCCTCAGGAGATAGTTCAGAGTTGATAGCCCCAGCTCCAGAGTCTGACTCTCTGGGTTTGTACCCAGGCCATGCCACCAGCTAGTACAAGCTTAGGCAAATCCCTTTACCTTTTTGATAATGGTAGATAATTGTATTTACCTAACTCATAACAATTGTGGGAATTCGAGATACTTCATAGAAAGCCCTTAGCATAATGTCTTGGTATTATTCAGTATCTGTTAGTTATTTATAACTCTTGATATATGTATGTGTTAATGAGGTAGAATGGTGAATGTTTGAAATATCTACTCCACGGATGGCACCAAGCTATTTTGCAACCTTTATATTCAGATTTGAAAATAATAGAGGTTTTAACATAAGTTGAATAAATTAGCATTTTATAAAATGATTATTATGAGACCTGTGATCTACCCTCCCTCTGCCACTTACAAGCCACGTAAGCTTTCAGCTCTTTGAACCTCATTTTGCTCCTCTGCATAATCAGTATGTTACGATAGAGCAGGGGTCAATAACTACTGGCCCTGTAGTGGGGGGTGGGGAAGGCAAGTCCTACGCACCACCTGTTTGTAAATAAAGTTTTACTGGAACATAGTCACACCCATTAATTTATGGATTGTCGGCAGCTTTCAACTACGATGGCATCATTGAGTAGTTGCGACAGAGACCATGTAGCCTAAAATATTTATTCTCCATTACTTTACAGAAAAACTTACCAACCCCGGGCCAGTGTAAGGTCCCAATCCAGATCCAACATTTTGTAATGGTACTCTTTATTCTTTTCTTCTACTGTGCCATTTTTTAAAAACGTCTTGTGGAAAATTTTTAATCATATATAAAAGTTGAGAGTGTAACAGTATAAGAGAGTATAATGAACTTCTGTGTTCTCATCACCTACCTTCCAACAGTGAACCCCTGTCAATCATGTTTATTCTATAGCTCCTTCCCCAGGTGGTTTGACAGCAAATCCCAGACATCGTTTCATCCATGAAGACAATTTCTTTATCATCAGATAGCTAGTTGGTGTCCAGATTTCCCATGTTGTCACGGTTTTTACAGTCTAAAGCAGAACCCAGACAAGTCTTTTAAGTCCCTTTTATTATTGAAGCAACTATATCCGTTGTCTTGTCGAGTTTCTCACAGTCTGGATTTTGCTGATTGCGTCCCTTTGGAATTATTTAACATGTTCTTGTGACCCTCACATTTCTATAATATTGGTCCACCCTGCAGATGTAACTACCGAATTCCAGCTCAAGTTTGTTGTTATTTTACGAGAATATTCCATAGGTTGTGTTCTGTTCTTCCATTGAGAGGCACATAATGTATAGTTCCTTCTTTGGGATGTTAGCAGTCCATGGTGCTCAGTGCCTAGATATTTTTGTTTGGGAACGGGTATCACCTTTTAGTTGTTTTCCCTCTGAAACAGTTCTCTGAGCAACGTTTTCATTTCCTCTTTGTCTTACATACTAACTTGATGCATCCTTCATGTTTTGCAGCTGCAGCTGATAAATTCCAACGAACCTGGAGTGATCATGTTTAAAACTGATGCCCTGAAATGCAGAGTAGCCCTTAGTCCCAAAACCAACCAAACACTTCAGCTAAAAGTGACACCTGAAAATGCAGGACAGTGGAAACCCGATGAACTTCAAGTTTTGGAGAAATTCTTTGAAACAAGAGTATGTGTTTCTTAATGCATAGTTTTAATACGGGCATACCTCGTTTTATTGCTTCGCAGATACTGTATTTTTTAACAAACTGAAGGTTTGTGGCAACCGTGCATGGAGCGAGTGTCAGGGCTGTTTTCCCACCAGCATTTTCTCACTTCATGTCTCCTTGTCACATTTTGGTACTTCCCACAATATTTCAAACTTTTTATTATGGTGCTCGATGATTGTGACTCACTGAAAGCTCAGGTGGTGGTTAGCATTTTTTAGCAATAAAGTATTTTTTAAGATAGGTACATTTTTTTAGACATAATACCATTGCACACTTACTAGACTACAGTATGGTATAAATAAACATAACTTTTATATGTACTGGGGAACCAGAAAACTTCATGCGATACTTGCTTTATTGCGGTGGTCTGGAACTGAACTCCCATCGCCAAGGTATGCCTCTACAGTCAACAAAAGAGAAGAGTCAAAGTAGAATGCAGAGTAACTTGCTTTATTCATCCCTGTAGGTTGCAGGACCGCCGTTTAAAGCCAATACTTTAATAGCCTTCACCAAGCTGTTAGGAGCTCCTACACACATCCTCAGGGACTGTGTGCATATTATGAAGCTAGAGCTGGTAAGTTACAGTGAAATGCATACTTCTGTATATAGCAAGGTCTCTGAAGAGGTTGGAGTTGGTGGGAGCAGTATTTATCGGTTTTCACCTATTTATGTACTTCCGTTTTTCTCTTACACTCTTTTTATTTTTTAAGATTTTATTTATCTTTGAATAGGTAACACAGTCCTCCTGTATCTTTTGACCTGAGATCAAGATGTGATACGGGGGAAATTTCCCATCTATCCCTGTCCAGGTGTCTAGTCTCCCTCCCCACAGGCAACCTGAGTTACCAGTGGCTTACCTCTTATAAAAGCAAATACATTTGATTCACTCTTCCTGCTCCTGGATACTGAAATGATGTTCCCATGGCTTCTTTTAATACTGTTATGGCTTCGTTTTTTAAATTACTTATTTATTTAAATTTTTGATCCGTTTAAAATCTACCTTGGTGTCAAGTGTGAGGTGTGGATCTAGCTTTTTCAGATGCCCCCCAATTGACCTAATGTCATTTATCAAAAAAAATCTGTCCTCCCTGGGGAGGTGAATTCCTCCCCTTTCCTGTGAAAGCATACAGTATGGAATCCAGGTTGTGGCTGATTATATTTTTCCAAGCCTACAGGACTTGGGTTCAAATGTTTCTAGTATTGCTTTGGGTAATTCCAAATACCTCACTCCTTTTTCCAGTCGGTGTTTTACTGCTAATACCGGGGACAGCAGTGTTCCTTTGCTAATAGTCTCAACATTTGGCTTCTGCTCTGGTAGCCTATAGGAAACAGTATTTATAGCAAAAAGATACCCATTTGAGTTTTTGAAGGAGTAAGTATTCATGTGGCTAAAAAAAAGCACCAGTTGGGGGCGGCGCCTGGGTGGCTCAGTCAGTTAAATGGCTGGCTCTTGATTTTGGCTCAGGTCACCATCTCAGGGTCCTGGGATCGAGCCCCGCGTTGGGCTCTGCACTCAACAGGGAGTCTGCTTCGGGGTTCTCTCTCTCCCTCTGCCCTTCCCCCTGCTCGTGTGCGCTCTCTCTTTCTCTAAACTAAATAAATACATCTTTTAAAAACAAAACAAAAGGGGCGCCTGGGTGGCTCTGATGGTTAAGCGTCTGCCTTCGGCTCGGGTCATGATCTCAGGGCCCTGGGATCGAGCCCCGCATCGGACTCCCTGCTTGGTGGGGAGCCTGCTTCTCCCTCTCCCTCTACTGTTCCCCCTGCTTGTGTTCTCTTGCTCTCTTTGTCAAATAAATAAATAAAATCTTTAAAAAAACAAAACAGAACACCAGTGAATACAGTTTGAAATTATTAACATAGTTTGACAAGTATGTTTTAGGGAAGGAGCTGGGAATGAGGTTGGGAAGTCTAGGTTGGCACTAGTTACTGTGCTTTAAAGTTAAAGGGCCTTGAATGCCAGATCTTGGTCCTGGCGGGGTAAGGGAAGGGAACAGCATGTGTCACTGCACATCACTAAACATTTGTGAGCTCGATTAGAACTGTGCTCGAGGACATTGTCCTGGCAGTGGTAGATGGAGGAACTGGGAGAGGCAGCCACTGGAAGAGACCGTTAGGGGCCACAAGAGAAGTCCTGAATCCTGGAGCTTGGTGGCATCCGTGAAAATAGAGAGGTGGGAACAGAGGTCAGAGACAGCAGGGAAGCAGAATCCATAGGCCTTGGGAATTAATGGAGCAGGAGGGAAGGAAAGGGGAACATGTCACATAGGTCTGGAGTGGATTTTTCATGTAGGAACGTCACGTATGCCCTTTGAGATAATGCAGGCTGTCATCTTTATGTTCTGTTAATAATGGATTGTATAGGGACGCCTGGGTGGCTCAGTTGGTTAAGCAGCTGCCTTTGGCTCACGTCATGATCCCAGAGTCCTGGGATCGAGTCGCACCTTGGGCTCCCCGCCCAGCAGGGAGCTTGCTTCTCCCTCTGCCTGCCAGTCCTCCTGCTTGTGCTCTCTGTCTCTGACAAATAAATAAAATCTTAAAAAAAAATAATGGATTGTATAAAATAAGATTCTGACCTTTGAGACTCCTCTACTAAAATGTAATTTTAAATGTTTATATGACTTTATCATGATTTCACGAACAGTTTCCTGACCAGGCAACACAGCTAAAATGGAATGTCCAGTTTTGCCTGACGATCCCTCCCAGCGCACCGCCGATTGCACCCCCAGGGACGCCTGCTGTGGTGCTGAAATCCAAAATGCTATTTTTTGTAAGTACCACCCAGCATGTGTGTGGGGGGGGGAGGGGGTGGTGTGTGTGCGCGCACGCGTGCACAAAACCCCTAAGGAAAAAGCATGCAAGGGTAATAGAACAACTTTGGATTACTACAGAGTAAGTAGCACCCAGCATATATATGTGTGTGGTGTGGTGTGGTGTGTGTGTGTGTGTGTGCGCGCACATGCGCGCACAAAGCCCCTGAGGAAAAAGCATGCAAGGATAATAGAAAAACTTTTGGATTACTACAGAGTTAACCGTCACTGCCAAACACAGGCTCAGATTCCTTAATTGTCAGTTTAGACGTGATGTACTGCCGGTTCCTTTAGTAATAACAGAAATGTATTGAATTAGATAATTGTGTGGCACGGTTGCATCGTTAACCATAATATTCAATTTTTTGTCACTTTTCTTGTGATCTCTAGTTTTCTTGTGCCCGAGGTATCTTAATCTGATGGAGTAAATAATAGTACCTTTGATAAATGTAGGCAAATGTTTTATTTTCTTATTACGTTTTTATTCTCTTTGTATGTGTTGTGTGTCTTCAGCTTCAACTAACTCAGAAAACATCGGTCCCTCCCCAAGAACCTGTTAGTATTATAGTTCCAATCATTTATGACATGGCTTCAGGTACAACCCAACAGGCAGACATTCCCAGACAGCAGAACTCTTCTGTTGCTGCTCCCATGATGGTCAGCAACATTCTGAAGAGGTTTGCAGAGATGAACCCGCCACGACAAGGTACATGACCAGTAGATAATATTTTATTGCCTATATGTTACAAAAGTTCTTTTGACAGATTCCTCCTCCTTCCCTCTACTCCCTCCTTACCCCGCTCTCCCCCCCCCACCAATCCTAGTAACAGAGCGCTGATTGCTGTGGCCCTGTTAATGTCTGCCTGTCGCTTTCTTCCTTTCTCACTGGTTTCTTCATTTTTGTCCATGTCTCTGCTGCCTGGACCTCATTTTTGTTAGTGATTTACTATTGGGACTGACCCAGTTGCTAATGCCAGAAGCTTGTATTTCTAGCACACATTGCCACAGAGCCGTAGGTTAGGATGATAGACTTTTTCATGGCTGTGAATTCCTGCCCTACCATCGATACCTGCCACTCTGTACATCACCAGTTGAAATGCATGTCGGTTTCTCATATTTCATGGTTCAATCATGAATAGAATATTATCATTCAAAGTTCTGTATCTTCTAAATGTTTTGTGAAGAATAAAAGCTGATACAAATGGCATCACTGCTTTTTGGGCTTCTTATATAAGTGTCAGGCGGGTGCAAGTGAACCTTTTCACCAAGTGCACAATGAAGCTCTCAAACAACATTTTCGAGGAACCCTGAATGTTTCTGGCAGGTAAACCAGGTCCCTTCCATACTGTGGTAGCCTACACGGAACACACAACTCCTGGCAGTTTTGAATGTTTCGTCACAAAACCTAAAGCTCAGCAAAGAGAACTTTTCTTCCATTTTGCTTGTTGCTAATCTTAAGGAAATTAAATTTAAATTAAAATTTGCTTATTTCTACTATTAAGGAAATCCTCTGTAGCTTTCTGCTTAGAGTAGTATGATAACAGAATTACATTTTTAAATGAGGGAAAGTTGTTCTCTGAAACATTTTTTAGGTACCACAGTGTTAAAATTTTACTAGAAACAGGAATCATGGGAGAAATTATATTTTTCGCTGTTTATTTCTCCATATTGTATATAACATAGGCAAGTTTTCACTCACATAGAGTTTACAAGGAATGCACCGGGCAGTAGAGAAGGGTACGCTTCTTTTGTTGTAAGACTTCTTCCACTTCTTACAGTTTTCTGCTTTCATCCTTTGACTTATCTCTTCTTTCAGCTAAAAATAGGTCCTTCAGAATCGGAAGTTTAAAGCTAAAATAATTTTCAAAGTAGCAGTCCAGTAGAACTTTGATGATAAGACCATTCCTTCACAAGCAGATGATTATCATTATTATGTCTTGTGGAATTTACAATTTAAGGAAAGAATGTTTTGATCCTCTTGGGATCAAACACGTTTTTCTGTCTGTCAATAATCAAAATGTGTTTTTGAAAAGGAAAAAGAAGGATATAACTTTTCCTTTTATTTGAGAAATTGTTGGGATGTTTTGGGAGTGTTTTTCTTTTTCTTTCCTTTTTTTAGTCTTTTTTTTTTTTTTTTTTTAATGTCTACCTTAGACTGGGCAAACCTGGGGCTTCATTTTTTTTCTGTACCGGTTGGAGGGAAGCTTGCAGTAGCTTGCACAGGGTCACTGCACATCCTGCCCTTGGCCAGAAGGCCATTCTTCCCTCGAGGCCTCCCGTTCTCTCACTCGCGGCCACCGTAGCGTTAGGCCACATACCAGGAAAGGGACCCAGCTTTTGATTTATATTATTTACAGCTGTTTGGGTTTATTATATTTAAGTCTATGTAATGTTCACAAGAAGTACGAGGCAGGGTCTCTGGGTTCTTTGAGCAAGGGGGGAATTGAAAGGATGAGTCATTAGCCCCCACCCGCAAACAAGTCTTGTTTTTGGATTGTCGGTGTGCCATACTTCACCGCCCCCCCCCACCCCCTGAACCCATCACTTCCTCCCCTCCCAGTGAAGTGCTTTTAAGAAAAGTCACTCTCTTTTTATTAATTGATACTCATGTTGAACTCCAGAGGTTGATCATTTCCTTTACATTTGAGAAAACTCCAATATATGTCATAGAAGTGCACTGCCCAGTATAACTGTCACTAACCTCATGTGGCTATTTAAATTCAAGCTAGTTAAAATTAACTTTTTTGTATAGTTCTTCAGGCACACTAGCTACATGACAGGTACTCAGGAGCCACAGTGCACATACAGAATATTTCCATCAGCACAGAAAGTTCTGTTGGACAGTGCGATCATAGACATTTTTATCTGGCTTTTAAAGCAACATTAGAAGGACATCGTTGATGTTGTAACGGATGCATAAATAAATCTAAACTAGATCTTTTCATTAGATTCAAAATACATAAACTGTCAGTAGTCTTGAAACCCAACTTTAAAGGCTTATTCACTGCTCCAGTGTTTTCAGTGGAGAAACTCAAGGCATATCTCCTTAAATTCAAACCTAACTGGGACTTACCCAGAATTTCCCCATGAGAAGAAAAGCAAACAAAACCCGAACCAAGTATTTGATACTTAACACCAAAGCTTAATCCCCAGTAACCTGTGCAGTTAAAGTTTAGTCTTTTGACCCTTGAAGTTCTTGCTGATTTTAGATTTAATTATCCCTACCCCCACCAGTGTGTTGACAGCATCTTTCCTGTATTGCGAATAGCTAATGACCATTTTTCTCTGTTGCAGGTGAATGCACAATATTTGCAGCTGTTCGTGATTTAATGGCTAATCTTACACTGCCCCCTGGTGGGCGTCCATAGACACTATTGTTTTTAAACCAGGAAGGCTGACAAATGAGACAAAACAGCAAAAAAAAAAAAAAAAAAAAATCTGAATTTAGCCTTCAGTTTAAAAAAGGACTTTTTTGACTTTAAGAGCTAATATTCTAAACTGGCAAAAATTTTCAGGGTGCACTTCTTTCATCAAAAAGACCATCAGTCTTTTTTGTATAGTGAACTTGTATAGTGTGTTTAAATGGGACACATTTCAAACTAGGTAAAACATCGGTGTCCGCTTGCCAGTAATAGATTTAATATTGTTTTATACTATAAAGTTATGGAAATGCCAAACTTGTTTATTTAATTGTTTTCTTATGTTTTGGGTGTAATAGTCCTTTTTTTGGTTTTTGTTTTGTTTTTTAAGGCAGGTCTGTCATTTTTGAATACTGTAAAACTGTGATAAACTTTATATTGAAGCTGTATTTTAATATGCCCGCTTTGAATCCTTACATGAAAATGTTCTGGGAGTTGTTATAAACACATCCCAAAGAAGCAATATTTAATAAAACTAGGTTTAAAAAAACAAAAAACAAAAAACAGTGACACTCACTTGTGTGTATATCAGCTCTCTAGACTTCTCCTGGCCTCCCTTCATCTTTCACCTGGTGGGGCCAATAATTAATTTCTAATGATACATGTCTGAAATTTGACCAAAAACATCATCTTTGTTTCAAGTTTAATTTATTTTCTTCGAACATTCCTAACTTGACTGGTGGTGAATGTTTAGCACCGTAGTTGTCTTTTAGTGTAGGATTTGGGTAAAAAAGAAGGTGAACCCGTCTTTGAGAAGAGACAATGAGTAGTTCATATTGATCAAGGATCCCAAATACTGCAATCATTCTCATCTGTTGAAGATACAGAAACTTTTCTGTTAGGCAAATTTAGTTTACAGGATACTTCTGCATACAGCATGAATTAGGAAACCTAGAACTTGAGTGTTCCACCCTTGCATGAAATTTCTGTGACATTTCTTTATCTTGCTTAACTTCTCCCCCCTTGCCTTCCCCACCACACTTGGGGTTCTAAACAATCCCACCTTAATTCATTGTCAACAAAACGGTAAAATGTTTTGCTTGGAAGAAACCTGATTACAGTGCCCTCACTTTGAAGAATCCAAGATCCAGTGCCCGTCCAGGGTCAAGTGGAGTTTCTGGTACTGACACATCTCAGCAGAGTTTCTTTTTGGAGCACCGTGTTGTCTCTCCCCGTGAGTCAGGGACTTTTTTAAGCTTCAGAGAATGTGATCAGAAGCAAAGGTCTTCTGGTGACCTAATGTTATTTGGGAAGGTTTTTTATATGATAATACTGTACTGAGTTATCTGGTCACTGGAATATTGGCTCTCCAGTAAACTGTAGACACTCTAAGTCCACTTTAAGGTGATTTGAGCTTCTGTTAACTATCAACTACCAAATTCTAATTTCAGGCATCTCACTGCAGCTATGTCCTATCTGTTCTCAACTTCGCTTGATTCTCCATTCACTTCTGGTCAGAGTCGAGGCCTTCTTTGCCTTTCTTCGGTGTCTTATTTCTACTGTTATCCCCTGCTTCTCGCCCAGCTCTACCGCTGTTCAGGAGCAGGTGACTGGACTTTATCCTTCCTTTAACTTACCTTTATCCTTCGGTTTTCGGTTCTCCTTACAATGGGAATCACATCAGTTTGGCAATCTAACATGTCTTTATATCAAGGGTCAGCCCTTTTCTGTCGGGAGCTGAGTCCTTTCTTTCATGTAGAAATCTACATGTATATACAAGAAATGTATTTTTATCTGCAGGATAATACTGTCTCAAATTTTATGAAAAGAGTAAACTTTTCGGGTATTCTCCTTTTTAAGTGTGGTTTTGAAACGTTAATTGTATTTTTTAAAACACGATGCATTCAGTGGATACTTTTTTCCTGATTATAACTCATCTCTGAATGCCTCGTGCAAATCAAAATAGGATTCAGTGAGCAGAATTTGCTTTCGATGCTTAAGAATAAACCCATGAATATGAATTTTGATATGTTTGGTACTTGGAATTGGTATATACTTTATTAAAGCTTGAAAACACTAGCATTCAAATCTTAGGTTTCAGCATAAACCATGTCTTTTGCCTCTTTTGTTACCCAGGTTCAATCAAAGGGACGGGATGCCCATAGTGATTTTTTTTCTGATAGGTGGTTGGGGTCTTTTAAGGTGTTTTCAATGTGATTTTAGTAATCTCGGTAATAAAATTTATACAAGTTTCAGAGAACTACCAACTCTCTCTAGTTAATTTGCACGGAGATGTTTTGGATAGTAGTCTGGTTTAGCATTAGTTTGATCTCGAAAGAAGAAATGGGTCCTGATTTGCCAACTTCTTTTTTTCATTTGCTGAAATGCCATTTCAGAATGTATAGAAGTACTTTCAGAATTAGGAAGAAAGTGAAAAATTCAACAGAACATATCAAGTTATTAATAGCAGGGGCTGAACCTTATGTTTGAAAGTTAACTCTGAGCTAGTGCAAGCAGAAACTAAAATATACATGATTTGAATTTAAATACCACTAATAACTGTGTTGCAGTTAATACAGTAACTCATTCAGCCACAGGATACTAACCGTTAGTCATTTGGACCATTATTAATTCGGTAACTTCAAAAAGTAAAATTTTGCTACTCAATTCAGAATCCAATTTCTACATTAAAAAAGTTCCTTTCTTTCATGATTTTTCCCACAAAGAACTACCCATTATATTTTACTTTAATATTTATTATCCAAGTTCTTGGTATAAAATCAATATAGAGAAAATTGTAAGAGAACTTATCAGAAACTTAAAGGACAGAAAGGAAAACTGTTACTATATATTTCGTTATTTCTTGGGGAAGTTCCTTTTTCATTTGGTTTGATGGGAGTGGACAGTATGTCTAAGGAAATGATTTGAAATTTACTTAGGGTGGATTTAGTATTGAGGTTATTAAGAAAAAGGCAGCAGAGGTCAGCCAGCATGCTGCTGCACAACCCCAGGAGACTTCCAAGTAGCCAGTGATTTGTTCAAATACCTTGCCCAGGAATATGAGATTGGTGGAAGGGCACGTTTAGATCAATGTAAAAATAATAGCTAATATTTACTGAGAGCTTACTATTGCTAGGCACTGTCCTAAGTATTTCAATGTGTATTTAAACCTCACAACTCAGTGGGGTAGGTATTGTTATCCTCCTTTTACAGATGAGTAAACTGAGGCCCAGAGAAATGAAGTAATTTGCTGATATCAAAATTAAGTTTGCTTAAGATCAAACAGTTAAAAGGGGGCATTTTAAATTCAGAGCTAGAGCTCCTACATACTTGTGCCACTTTGCTCTTAACCACGAAGTCAGGGGAAAGTTTTGTTTAGACTCTTCCCCCAGAGCCCTTTGACTACACACAATTTTAACACTCTTCCAAGCTCAAGAAGCTCACTAAAACGCAACTAAAACTGAGAGGACCTCTTGTCATACAGAGCTGACAGTCCATTGCCTTCTGATCCTCATGGCACTTACTTGGAAGTTAACTAAGACTGCCTTATGTAAGAAGCACTAATTATAACCAAGAGTATTAAATAATGATCTAAGCTGGATTCTTCAGGACCATAGTGGAAGAAGCCCTTATCCGGCTCCGGGCGGTGCAGCCCTCCACAGAATCCAGGGGATGCGTCGTCCTGTTCGCTTCTGCTAGATGGCCCAATGGCGGATGTTTTTGAGCTTTGTGTCACCTTGGCACTGCAGACGCATGGTAGATGCGTGCACACTGCACTAATACCCTTACTTGCTACAGCCAATCTGTTGGGCTTAGGGATAAAATAAACTTTATAGAATTGTATAATGCAAGGAACATAACGTAATTCAAAAAGTGTGCGTTGAGCATCTTCTGTGTTTTTACAATAAAAGCACAGACAGCAGGAGAGGGAGTCGAATCGGGGACTGGCAGGGTCTCAGTTTGGGGGAACAGACAAGAGGGCGTTAAGAGTTTCAGGTACAAGTTCTCTGGGCAAGCACGGGATAAAGGAATTACACATCTGCTGTCACCTAACACGGGTGGGGAAGGCGTACCCTTGAAGCCAGAAGGCTCCGCCCCGGGATCCAGGGCGCAATGCGGAGAGCTCTGGCCCCGCCCTTCGCCCTGCACGTAGGGGCGGGCTCCGGGCGGGGCCGGCGGCACCGCCCAGACGTCCGCGTCTGCGCACTGCCGCTCGCCCCGCCTCTCGCCCGTGGTCCCGTACCCTCCCGGGCCCGAGCGGGACATGGTGCTGTCAGAACTGGCCGCGCGCCTCAACTGCGCGGAGTACAAGAACTGGGTGAAGGCGGGCCACTGCCTGCTGCTGCTGCGCGGCTGCCTGCAGGGCTTCGTCGCCCGCGAGGTGCTCGCCTTCCACCGCGGCTTGCTCGCCGCCGCCCCCAGCCTGGGCCCCCGCGCCGCCTGCCGCAGCGGCTCTCGGTGTAACCCGCACGCCCGCCAGGTGAGCCCCTGGCCCCAGCGTCTCCCGTCCTGGTCCCCGAGCGTAGGGTCCCGAGCCCTTCCTGGGGCGGGGCGGACCGCAACGCTCCGGGGTGACTTGCCCAAGACGCCGCCCCTCCCTCCCGGGCCCCTTCTCACCCCCGCCCCCTGTAGTTTCAGCCTCAGTGTCAGGTTTGCGCAGAGTGGAAACGGGAGATTTTGAAACACCACACCAACAGGAATGGAGACGTCCACTGGGGAAACTGCCGGCCGGGCCGCTGGCCCGTCGACGCCTGGGAGGTGGCCAAGGTAAGCACCTGCTCAGGAGGGTAGGAGGTGACCCACCAGGCAGCCGGTCACCTGGAGCCCGGAACCCCATAAACAGATGCAAAGATAGAAAGAGAGGAATGGGTGTTTGATCTAGGGTCTAGTGTCCAGGCGGTTCAGAGCTGCTGTCTGGATCCGATCTAGCTTAGCGAAGTAGAAGCTTGCTTCTTTTACTTCTAACAAGGCATTTAAGTTTGCTACCCCTGCTTGGACAGCTGTAGCAAAGATTTCAACAAGAGACGCTGACCCAAGATGTAGAGCGAGCATCATGAGCACAGGCCCAGAGGGAGAAACACATAAGGGTTTTTGAGTGTAGGCTCCCTGAGTAGCTCATTTTGGCTGTAGGGTGCCATCAGGATGGCAGAGGAAGCCAAGGGAAGTTAGAGCTAAAACAGAAAGGACTTTAAGTGGCCAGGTAAGGAATAAAACTTTGGGGAGGTCGGGTGGAGTGGGCAGCCAGATAGAAGGCTTTTAGATCTTGCCACTCTGACTTGCCAGCTGGGCCAGTTGGGGATTTTTTTTTTTTTTTTTAAATGTTTTCCAGAAGCCCAGTAAGGGGTAGGGCAAGGCAAAGTCACCTCCTAACACACATTAACTTTTGTAGTCCGTCTACATGCTGATTAGCAACAGGCACAGGGTTGGTGCCTTGGAAGCAGGGATCAGAGTCCCAGCTCTGCTGCTGTTGTGTGACCTTAGGCCAGCCTCTGTTCCCTAAACCTCAAAAATGAGGAAGTTGGACTTGAGCAGTGGCCACAGACTTGTGGCTATCGTGGACCCATAAACCCACCGCATCTACACCCTCATCCCAATTTTTTTTGTTTTTGTTGTTGTTGCCACCATAGAATTGCCAACGCTTACTTTTACCTACAAAAGAAAGAAACTTAAAATTCTGCCCTTTACTGTGACTGTCCCTCACCTGTTTGGTCTTTGTTGCTGCTTTCATACCCTTAGAATCCTCTCGAAGCCCATGTCCCCTGCCCATGCCCCTTTTTGCTGCTGTCACCCACAGACCTTCTAGTCCAACCCCGGTGTTTATGTTTTCCAACCACATCCTCCTTTTTTTCCTCCTTTCTCTGAACTTGCACGGCCCAACGGCAGCCCTGATGACACCATCACCTACTTGTGCTCAGGGGAAGAATCTCACAAGGGAACTGACTGGTTTCACTTTTAGTTCTTGATCCTGTGCCCCAGTGATCTGGCCGCGGCTCTGTAGAGGGCTCCTGTTCCTGGGGACAGCTGTTGCTGTCTTTCCCTCGCCAAGCTCCGATTCCTCCACCCTCATTCCCAGCTGCTGACTCCGTGCATTTTCCCTGCAGTTGATGCATGCCCCCACATACATGCTTCCTCATCTTTTTACCAGACCTGCGAACCTACCTCCATGTGCACCATCTTCTTCCTTCTGCCACAGAGGAGGAAGGGTGTCTCTCTTACCACCTTGGCCCTCCACTTGTAGGTCGGACCATATCCCCTCCCACCTGCCCACAGACTTTCAGGCCTCAGGTATCCACTCTGTCTCCCTCGCAGTTTATTCCCATCACCATACAGATAGCTTTAATATCGCCTCGGTTTATTCAGTTTTTTTTTTTTTAAAAGACAAGATTAAACACAGGGTTACTATATGACATAGCAGTTCCACTTCTAGGTTTGTAGCCAATGAAATGAAAATACACATCCACACAAGAACCTGTGCTGCATGAGTGTTCATAGCAGCACTATTCATGACAGCCAAAAGGTGCAAACAACATAAATGTCCATCACCCGATGAATGGATGAGCAAAATGTGGCCTGTCCATACAATGAGATGTCATTTAGCCATGAGAAGGAATGAACTGGGGAGCCTGGGTGGCTCAGTCGGTTGGGCGTCTGACTCTTGATTTCGGCTCAGGTGGTGATCTCAGGGT